TAAAAGTCTCAAAACTTGAAGATCTGATAATAGCAACAGACGGCTTAGTGAGAGTAACTTGCTCGGGAAGGGTGGTTTTGGCCAAGGTAAGAATGAGTTCAATTCAAACATGATCTTACGTAGTCTAAAATGCAACAAAACGTAGCAGGAGATAATATGATGTTTGTTTACAGGGTAAACTAGAAAATGGTCAAGAAATAGCAGTAAAAAGGCTTTCAAGAGCATCTGGGCAAGGTGTGTAGAAGAATTCATCAACGAAGTTGAATTCATCTAAAAACTTCAGCAATTTCAGATTTCTAATAAAGCTGTAATCAAGCGAAACAGGAACATCATTATAAAACGGAGGGAATAGTACATGTTAAAAGAAAAAATAAAACAAAAACACTCAAAATTACATTAATTATACTAGTTCGTATGTGATATATTGCCTTTGGATTCTAACACCTTATTGCAGCTAGATTGATGGGGCAGTAAGCTGTGTATCTCCTTTGTGTATCTCCTTTTCGTTAAAATTATGTACTAATACAACGGGACAAGCGAATCGACCCAAGGATGAAAGGAAATGATCCTTTCGGTACCATCTGGTAAATTTGTGGCTTCGATCTCCCTAGCTTGTTTGGATTGTAGATCACAGCAGATGAAAACCTTTTGTAGAGCTCTTGTACGGTCAGCTATTGCTAATATGATACTGCGTCGTTCATCTCGGAAACCCAAATTATATATTTTAGCATGATGAAAATCAACATGTTTCAATTGCCCCGAGAGATGATGAAAAATTCGAGTCCAAGATATCTTCTTCTTGTTTAATACCCATATCTCCAAAGTATATGTTACGATACACAACTGTCCTTCTAAAATGGTCAATTCTGAGTCATCTTCACAGTTGGTATAGTTTATCTCTCTCTTTACCGGATGGGGTATCTGGTAATACCTTTGAGTGAAAAGATCGAAACACCTTATTCCTGTAAACAACAAAGGATTCATCCAATGGAAGGAGTTGTCAGCCAAGATAGCAGGTCGGGGGCTCATACAAAATTGATTCAACTGCCATGGCGGGCTCGGTATGTTCACCCAGGCATCCGTTTTCAAACTGTATAGTAGAGCTTTTTCGACATTTCGATCATTCCTCTCCATACAAATGGCTAAAACCTTATAATCATCGGATACACTGTCATAAACCGAATGCAACTTCACGTTTCAATAAATTATTCATCGGGGAATTGAGTGGTGGTATCAAAATCTAGTGGCTCGAGTCGCAGGGTTGTAGAGAAACAGGCCTAGATTATTGTTTGTAAGCAGATTTGTAAAAGGGTTGTAATGTTATTGAATGAAAACAAACTAGGGCCATTGCATGAGCCTAAAAACACCTCCCATGGTGCGAGGCTTTATGATGTCTTTCGGATAAGCAAGTTCCGAAGCATGGTAATAGGGATGCTGCGATGTAGCTCTAAAAGAGTAGACTTTGGATTTCCAGCACTCGAAGAGGAAATGCGTTTCCAGGTTTGCTTTGAGGGATCGACTGCGATGCAACTTCATGAACTTTGGATCTTTGGTAAGCATATACCACGATGAAGAGACACATGCAGATCGCAGCAGAGACTTAGCGGGTAGCCATGAGAGTATCTCAGTGATTAGTTCAAACGGAAGGTAGCAACAATTCGGTCTTCGCTTTTCTTCTCCATCCTCAGTATGCTTTAATTTAACAACTACACTACGAATTGTTGGTGCTTAATTTGCTTATATAGGGAGATAAACAAAGATCAATTCATACCTTTTACAATTCCAATTAGGATTAGGATTAGGATTAGGATTAGGATAGTTATTGCGGTTGTATTAGGGATATTTACTTTCTTACAAGATCCTTGGTCTCCAAGGTTAATTTAAACAACCTTGATACCCAAGGATGTGTAATACACTAATACTTTGGTCTTCAAGACATTATATGGTCGCCAAAAATTAAAAAAATAATATTTTTTTTTTATTTTTTTTGTTATGATAACCATTAACCAATGAGAGAAGATGTATTTCCTAAAACTAAACGTTAGATATTTTAATAGATATTTAAAAAGATTTGATTGAAAAGATAAACCAAATTATTATGGGAATACATGATGCATCATTTAGTAACAAAAGTATTGACCAATTTTACTTTGAATAATCTCAATTGTAAAAAATTTGCAAAAAAAAAAAAATAAAAAAAAAAAATCCCTTAAAATATCCTTTTTAAATTAGGAAAAATATACTTTATTAATCCCAAGTTTGACCAATTTGCTTTGAATAATCTCAACTATCGATTATTTTGCAATAATCCCAACTTTCACCTTCGTTTTCTTCTATCAACCTTGAAAACCAGTTACCTGCTGAAGATATTTTTTTTTAATAAAATATAAAAATGTCACGTGTCACGAGATACATCCCTTGAAGGCTTGAACAGATTCCTCAAAATTGACATCTTGCCTCATAGCTGCAGTCTTTTTTTTTTATCGGAAAACGAAAGATTTATAAATTAATTAAAACCAAATCCACAAGCATAAAAAAAAAAAAAAAAAAAAAAAAAAGCAGATCAACAACAAAAGCTACAAATTTCAACATGACAAAGCACTTGAATTAGTCTTATTCGTCCAAAAGCAAGAACAACAGCGCCTCCTACTGTAAAACAAGTCCACCAGTATCTGATATGCTCTCCCTAAGGCCTTCCTCAAATGCATCCATGGCACAATGCGTAGCCCCAGTATGGATCTTTTCTTCCTCCTCCATGCTTAAGCATGATTAGCTGAACCTAAAGTTGCCATCTTTCTTCAGGAACTCTCCTATATCAGCAAGAATTAGCGTTAAGAAAGCTATGTAGCCCTGTATGAATTGAACAAAATTCCCTTCTTGAATCAAAAACATCTCGGCAACTGTTACATGAAAACTGCCACTTGCAAGGTGATGACCAAAACCCAGAAACTCGACATTTTGAAGGCCTGTAATTAAAATTTCCCTTCTAGATTCATTATTACAATTAAAATTACTACTAAAAATTCAACAATTAACAAGATTATAAGAAGTCTTTTTTCATTGCAAATATGCAATTAGACTTGTTAATTTATTAAATACTTGATAGCAATTTTTTTAAAAAAAAGCTTGTATCTCATCATTTTATCCTGACAATAGTTACATCCTTGCTCAATACAATAGCCCTATTATCCTTCAAAAAATAAATACTCGTAAAAAAATAAAAAAAAATAAATAAAAAAAAAAAAAAAAAAAAATAATAATAATAATAATAATAATAATAATAATAAAAATTCATCAAATTAACAACAACAACAAGAAGCATAATTTAATGACAAAAACGAGGTAAATAAAGATAATGGATGTTTATCACATCAATTCATGTTTATAATTATCAAAAATCTCATCAAAACATCCCTTCAAAAAAAATCATAACAGTTGAAAAAATATTTAGAAATTAGATAAATCATAGAATTAATTTGTTTAATACATCATATAAACAAAATATACAAATAAAAAAAAAATGAAGCTGAGAATAGGTGAATACCTGAAACCTCATGACTTCATTAGCCATGCTTGCCTTCTTCGCTTCTTCAGTAGCAGAAATTAGAGACAGAAAAAACTAAGGAAGATGATACTGAGTATAACTTTTTGGGCCTAGCCCAATTGCTACATTTTATCACGGCCCAATATATTTTCTAACTGGGCCTTATGTTGGGCACGTAATTCAAGTCAGTATTGTTGTATAATTGTATCAATGGTTCAACTGTTAACCAACCCTGACCTAAACTGAAGAGTATTGTTTGAACTGAAACTAACCAAACCCCGAATGGTTCATAACTGAAAATTCAATGGGAAAAAAATTAATTACCACTTAAGTTAGTTGAAACTGAATTAATTTATAAATTGAAGTTAACTTAACTGAACTGAATTGTTTGGCCTTGGCATTGATTATTTTACATTCTCAACCCTTAAATGTTTCACCTTGTTCCCTTATGAAAAGTAGCAACATGTGCCAATTGCATGTGTGAGCTTGTTTTCTTTCTTTTGGTGTAGAGAAAATTTGAGAAAGTTGTGTCCCAAGTACCAACTAATGTCGTTCCATATGAACTCATGAATGATCTTGCATATTAATTTATCTTGCTATGTACAATACAAATACTTTGATCATTTATATATTTGATTTCAGATTAGTAAAAATTATTAAAGTTTATATATATCAAGATTTTTTTATATAACGCATCTCATATAACAATACGGCTAGTCAAACTCGAAATATTTTAATCTACTCGTCATAGTCATCAATCAATACAAACCTTAACAACAGCACCAATACACTAGAAGTCCAGAACATCCACTAGTTTAAAGCGAGTGAGTCTGGGCGCATAGCATTTATGGGCGAGTTATGTAAATAGGAGGGTAAGGAAGTAATTTCCGCTGATTCAATTTTTGCTTCTAGAATAAGTTGACTCTCTAGTGGTACATTATAATGCACCATTATGCATGTATAATGTACCATTAAAGTAAAATTTGTCTGAATAGTACGTTTTGTGGACTATTACGAGTGTAGTGGTACTTTTTACCATCCTATAACTTTCAATTTCTTGAAAAAGCTGACTCTCTAAGGGTACATATAATGTACCATTATGCATGAATAATGTACCACTAAAATATAAGTTATCTGAATACTACTTTTTAATTGCAAAATTGTCATCCTATATGCTTAGAAATCAATAGGCGCTATGAGCCAAGACTTAACCGTTTAACGCACTCATAAGTTCACGTGTTTCACTCAAAGAGCTAACAGGCCTAACACCAAAGACCTCTGAAATTCTGAGCAAAAAAAAAAAAAAAAAAAAAAAGACAGAGAGAGAAAAACACACACACACACAGCTTACCTTCAGAGCCCTGAAATTATCTCTAAATTGCCAAATATTACATGATATAATCAATTAAGCAAAGAATGATACCTATTTTTGCATTAATTCCATACATTCTTCTTTTCAGTTCTAAAATTTGCTCTGCAATTGACAGTATTACACCAACACAATTCCTAAAAGACTCAGAATCAATACTTTCTAAAAATAGCATTTTCAAGCTAGGATTTTTCAGCCCTCAAAACTCTTCCAATCGTTATGTTGGAATATGATATAATCACCCTTTTGAAATGGAAGTTGTATCTTGTATGGGTAGCTAACAGGAACAATCCCCTCACTGATACTTCTATTGTACTTAAGATATCACTCGACGAAAATCTGCAAGTCTCTGATGCAAAAATATCAGACTGTTTGGTCATCCAATGTCACTCATCCTACAGCTGGTTTCGTAGCAGCTCAACTTCAAGATTCCGGGAACATTTTTATCCAAGGATTTCCGAACAACACGAGTCGTGGCAATGGGACGATCATATGGCAGAGTTTTCAGTATCCTGCAGACTCAGTCTTACCAAATATGAAGTTCATTCTTAACAATAATCCTGAATTCAGGAAAGTCGTGCAGGCCTGGAAAAGTCCTTCAGATCCATCAGTTGGAAGGTACTCAGTTGGTACTAACTCTAGGTTTTTTCAGATTATCATATGGGATGGGGATCGCCCTTATTGGCGAAGTGGACCTTGGAATGGAAACATTTTCATGGGAACAAGATATCATAATACTGGTTATGGTAATATACTCATTAACACCGGGTCATTCGCACAGGAGGAAGTAAGAGGGATGCTTTCTCTGGTTTTTACAGGTGCGAATGAGACTTTGTTGCCTCGTTATGTAATAATTGATCAAGGATATTAGCTGAAAGTGGTGGGATGATAGCAAGAAGAACAGGGGAATTGCGTGGCATGCCCCGGAAAATATATGTGACACCTATGGTATGTGTGGAGAATTTGGAAACTGCAACCCGCAGACTAAACCTATGTGCAGCTGCTTAAAAGGGTTTGTGCCGAAGAACGCGGAGGAATGGAGGAGAGGAAACTGGACAAGTGGGTGTGTGAGAAGAAAGAAGCTGCAATGTGGGGTTCAAGGGGGAAAACAAGATGGGTTTTTGAGGTTAAAGATGATGAAAGTGCCAGTTAATGCTGATATTGCTGAATGGTTTGTGGGTCTGAATCCTGATCAGTGCAGAACAACCTGCCTGGCAAACTGCTCTTGTTTGGCTTATACACATGATACTGGAACTGGATGTATGAGATGGAGCGAGAACTTGATTGACATAGAGGACCTTTCACCTGGAGGGGTGGACCTATTCATTCGGCTTGAACAATCAGAGCTAAGTAAGTTAATCATACCTCTTTGAAATTTTGAATGCTAGACACTTTAGGAGATATTATAGGCTTCTGAATTCTCATCTTCCCACCTAGTAAAAAAGATCATGTTAGTATGCATATGTAAAATAATTTCTTCTGCTTTGAAGGTACTAGTAAGAGATATGACTTTAGGAACAGCAGTGATTGCCACTATCATATACTTCCTGTTCAAATGGAGAGCTCGGAAAAAGGGTAAACACACATCGGATAGAAATAGAAAATCTAAATCAATACCAGAGAAAAAAAGCTGGGAAAGCAACAGATTCATATCTATTCAAAGACAAAACCCAAGTAATGATTGAAGACTTAAAAGTCTCAAAACTTGAAGATCTGATAATAGCAACAGACGGCTTTAGTGAGAGTAACTTGCTCGGGAAGGGTGGTTTTGGCCAAGGTAAGAATGAGTTCAATTCAAACATGATCTTACGTAGTCTAAAATGCAACAAAACGTAGCAGGAGATAATATGATGTTTGTTTACAGGGTAAACTAGAAAATGGTCAAGAAATAGCAGTAAAAAGGCTTTCAAGAGCATCTGGGCAAGGTGTAGAAGAATTCATCAACGAAGTTGAATTCATCTAAAAACTTCAGCAATTTCAGATTTCTAATAAAGCTGTAATCAAGCGAAACAGGAACATCATTATAAAACGGAGGGAATAGTACATGTTAAAAGAAAAAATAAAACAAAAACACTCAAAATTACATTAATTATACTAGTTCGTATGTGATATATTGCCTTTGGATTCTAACACCTTATTGCAGCTAGATTGATGGGGCAGTAAGCTGTGTATCTCCTTTGTGTATCTCCTCTATCGTTAAAATTATGTACTAATACAACGGGACAAGCGAATCGACCCAAGGATGAAAGGAAATGATCCTTTCGGTACCATCTGGTAAATTTGTGGCTTCGATCTCCCTAGCTTGTTTGGATTGTAGATCACAGCAGATGAAAACCTTTTGTAGAGCTCTTGTACGGTCAGCTATTGCTAATATGATACTGCGTCGTTCATCTCGGAAACCCAAATTATATATTTTAGCATGATGAAAATCAACATGTTTCAATTGCCCCGAGAGATGATGAAAAATTCGAGTCCAAGATATCTTCTTCTTGTTTAATACCCATATCTCCAAAGTATATGTTACGATACACAACTGTCCTTCTAAAATGGTCAATTCTGAGTCATCTTCACAGTTGGTATAGTTTATCTCTCTCTTTACCGGATGGGGTATCTGGTAATACCTTTGAGTGAAAAGATCGAAACACCTTATTCCTGTAAACAACAAAGGATTCATCCAATGGAAGGAGTTGTCAGCCAAGATAGCAGGTCGGGGGCTCATACAAAATTGATTCAACTGCCATGGCGGGCTCGGTATGTTCACCCAGGCATCCGTTTTCAAACTGTATAGTAGAGCTTTTTCGACATTTCGATCATTCCTCTCCATACAAATGGCTAAAACCTTATAATCATCGGATACACTGTCATAACCGAATGCAACTTCACGTTTCAATAAATTATTCATCGGGGAATTGAGTGGTGGTATCAATCTAGTGGCTCGAGTCGCAGGGTTGTAGAGAAACAGGCCTAGATTATTGTTGTAAGCAGATTTGTAAAAGGGTTGTAATGTTATTGAATGAAAACAAACTAGGCCATTGCATGAGCCTAAAACACCTCCCATGGTGCGAGGCTTTATGATGTCTTTCGGATAAGCAAGTTCCGAAGCATGGTAATAGGGATGCTGCGATGTAGCTCTAAAAGAGTAGACTTTGGATTTCCAGCACTCGAAGAGGAAATGCGTTTCCAGGTTTGCTTTGAGGGATCGACTGCGATGCAACTTCATGAACTTTGGATCTTTGGTAAGCATATACCACGATGAAGAGACACATGCAGATCGCAGCAGAGACTTAGCGGGTAGCCATGAGAGTATCTCAGTGATTAGTTCAAACGGAAGGTAGCAACAATCGGTCTTCGCTTTATTCTCCATCCTCAGTATGCTTTAATTTAACAACTACACTACGAATTGTTGGTGCTTAATTGCTTATATAGGGAGATAAACAAAGATCAATCATACCTTTTACAATTCCAATTAGGATTAGGATTAGGATTAGGATAGTTATTGCGGTTGTATTAGGGATATTTACTTCTTACAAGATCCTTGGTCTCCAAGGTTAATTTAAACAACCTTGATTCCCAAGGATGTGTAATACACTAATACTTGGTCTTCAAGACATTATATGGTCGCCAAAAATTAAAAAATAATATTTTTTTTTTATTTTTTTGTTATGATAACCATTAACCAATGAGAGAAGATGTATTTCCTAAACTAAACGTTAGATATTTTAATAGATATTTAAAAAGATTTGATTGAAAAGATAAACCAAATTATTATGGGATACATGATGCATCATTTAGTAACAAAAGTATTGACCAATTTACTTTGAATAATCTCAATTGTAAAAAATTTGCACAAAAAAAAATAAAAAATAAAAAAAAAATCCCTTAAAATATCCTTTTAAATTAGGAAAAATATACTTTATTAATCCCAAGTTTGACCAATTTACTTTGAATAATCTCAACTATCGATTATTTTGCAATAATCCCAACTTTCACCTTCGTTTTCTTCTATCAACTTTGAAAACCAGTTACCTGCTCAAGATATTTTTTTTAATAAAATATAAAAATGTCACGTGTCACGAGATACATCCCTTGAAGGCTTGAACAGATTCCTCAAAATTGACATCTTGCCTCATAGCTGCAGTCTTTTTTTTTATCGGAAAACGAAGATTTATAAATTAATTAAAACCAAATCCACAAGCATAAAAAAAAAAAAAAAAAGCAGATCAACAACAAAAGCTACAAATTTCAACATGACAAAGCACTTGAATTAGTCTTATTCGTCCAAAAGCAAGAACAACAGCGCCTCCTACTGTAAAACAAGTCCACCAGTATCTGATATGCTCTCCCTAAGGCCTTCCTCAAATGCATCCATGGCACAATGCGTAGCCCCAGTATGGATCTTTTCTTCCTCCTCCATGCTTAAGCATGATTAGCTGAACCTAAAGTTGCCATCTTTCTTCAGGAACTCTCCTATATCAGCAAGAATTAGCGTTAAGAAAGCTATGTAGCCCTGTATGAATTGAACAAAATTCCCTTCTTGAATCAAAAACATCTCGGCAACTGTTACATGAAAACTGCCACTTGCAAGGTGATGACCAAAACCCAGAAACTCGACATTTTGAAGGCCTGTAATTAAAATTCCCTTCTAGATTCATTATTACAATTAAAATTACTACTAAAAATTCAACAATTAACAAGATTATAAGAAGTCTTTTTTCATTGCAAATATGCAATTAGACTTGTTAATTTATTAAATACTTGATAGCAATTTTTTTTAAAAAAAGCTTGTATCTCATCATTTTATCCTGACAATAGTTACATCCTTGCTCAGTACAATAGCCCTATTATCCTTCAAAAAATAAATACTCGTAAAAAAATAAAAATAAATAAATAAAAAATAAATAATAATAATAATAATAATAATAATAATAATAATAATAATAATAATAATAATAATAATTCATCAAATTAACAACAACAACAAGAAGCATAATTTAATGACAAAAACGAGGTAAATAAAGATAATGGATGTTTATCACATCAATTCATGTTTATAATTATCAAAAATCTCATCAAAACATCCCTTCAAAAAAAATCATAACAGTTGAAAAAATATTTAGAAATTAGATAAATCATAGAATTAATTTGTTTAATACATCATATAAACAAAATATACAAATAAAAAAAATGAAGCTGAGAATAGGTGAATACCTGAAACCTCATGACTTCATTAGCCATGCTTGCCTTCTTCGCTTCTTCAGTAGCAGAAATTAGAGACAGAAAAACTAAGGAAGATGATACTGAGTATAACTTTTTGGGCCTAGCCCAATTGCTACATTTTATCACGGCCCAATATATTTTCTAACTGGGCCTTATGTTGGGCACGTAATTCAAGTCAGTATTGTTGTATAATTGTATCAATGGTTCAACTGTTAACCAACCCTGACCTAAACTGAAGAGTATTGTTTGAACTGAAACTAACCAAACCCCGAATGGTTCATAACTGAAAATTCAATGGGAAAAAAATTAATTACCACTTAAGTTAGTTGAAACTGAATTAATTTATAAATTGAAGTTAACTTAACTGAACTGAATTGTTTGGCCTTGGCATTGATTATTTTACATTCTCAACCCTTAAATGTTTCACCTTGTTCCCTTATGAAAAGTAGCAACATGTGCCAATTGCATGTGTGAGCTTGTTTTCTTTCTTTTGGTGTAGAGAAAATTTGAGAAAGTTGTGTCCCAAGTACCAACTAATGTCGTTCCATATGAACTCATGAATGATCTTGCATATTAATTTATCTTGCTATGTAACAATACAAATACTTTGATCATTTATATATTTGATTTCAGATTAGTAAAAATTATTAAAGTTTATATCTATCAAGATTTTTTTATATAACGCATCTCATATAACAATACGGCTAGTCAAACTCGAAATATTTTAATCTACTCGTCATAGTCGTCAATACAGCACCAATACACTAGAAGTCCAGAACATCCACTAGTTTAAAGCGAGTGAGTCTGGGCGCATAACATTTATGGCCGAGTTATGTAAATAGGAGGGTAAGGAAGTAATTTCCGCTGATTCAATTTTTGCTTCTAGAATAAGTTGACTCTCTAGTGGTACATTATAATGCACCATTATGCATGTATAATGTACCATTAAAGTAAAATTTGTCTGAATAGTACGTTTTGTGGACTATTACGAGTGTAGTGGTAATTTTTACCATCCTATAACTTTCAATTTCTTGAAAAAGCTGACTCTCTAAGGGTACATATAATGTACCATTATGCATGAATAATGTACCACTAAAATATAAGTTATCTGAATACTACTTTTTAATTGCAAAATTGTCATCCTATATGCTTAGAAATCAATAGGCGCTATGAGCCAAGACTTAACCGTTTAACGCACTCATAAGTTCACGTGTTTCACTCAAAGAGCTAACAGGCCTAACACCAAAGACCTCTGAAATTCTGAGCAAAAAAAAAAAAAAAAAAAAAAAGACAGAGAGAGAAAAACACACACACACACAGCTTACCTTCAGAGCCCTGAAATTATCTCTAAATTGCCAAATATTACATGATATAATCAATTAAGCAAAGAATGATACCTATTTTTGCATTAATTCCATACATTCTTCTTTTCAGTTCTAAAATTTGCTCTGCAATTGACAGTATTACACCAACACAATTCCTAAAAGACTCAGAATCAATACTTTCTAAAAATAGCATTTTCAAGCTAGGATTTTTCAGCCCTCAAAACTCTTCCAATCGTTATGTTGGAATCTTATATAATCACCCTTTTGAAATGGAAGTTGTATCTTGTATGGGTAGCTAACAGGAACAATCCCCTCACTGATACTTCTATTGTACTTAAGATATCACTCGACGAAAATCTGCAAGTCTCTGATGCAAAAATATCAGACTGTTTGGTCATCCAATGTCACTCATCCTACAGCTGGTTTCGTAGCAGCTCAACTTCAAGATTCCGGGAACATTTTTATCCAAGGATTTCCGAACAACACGAGTCGTGGCAATGGGACGATCATATGGCAGAGTTTTCAGTATCCTGCAGACTCAGTCTTACCAAATATGAAGTTCATTCTTAACAATAATCCTGAATTCAGGAAAGTCGTGCAGGCCTGGAAAAGTCCTTCAGATCCATCAGTTGGAAGGTACTCAGTTGGTACTAACTCTAGGTTTTTTCAGATTATCATATGGGATGGGGATCGCCCTTATTGGCGAAGTGGACCTTGGAATGGAAACATTTTCATGGGAACAAGATATTATAATACTGGTTATGGTAATATACTCATTAACACCGGGTCATTCGCACAGGAGGAAGTAAGAGGGATGCTTTCTCTGGTTTTTACAGGTGCGAATGAGACTTTGTTGCCTCGTTATGTAATAATTGATCAAGGGATATTAGCTGAAAGTGGTGGGATGATAGCAAGAAGAACAGGGGAATTGCGTGGCATGCCCCGGAAAATATATGTGACACCTATGGTATGTGTGGAGAATTTGGAAACTGCAACCCGCAGACTAAACCTATGTGCAGCTGCTTAAAAGGGTTTGTGCCAAAGAACGCGGAGGAATGGAGGAGAGGAAACTGGACAAGTGGGTGTGTGAGAAGAAAGAAGCTGCAATGTGGGGTTCAAGGGGGAAAACAAGATGGGTTTTTGAGGTTAAAGATGATGAAAGTGCCAGTTAATGCTGATATTGTTGAATGGTTTGTGGGTCTGAATCCTGATCAGTGCAGAACAACCTGCCTGGCAAACTGCTCTTGTTTGGCTTATACACATGATACTGGAACTGGATGTATGAGATGGAGCGAGAACTTGATTGACATAGAGGACCTTTCACCTGGAGGGGTGGACCTATTCATTCGGCTTGAACAATCAGAGCTAAGTAAGTTAATCATACCTCTTTGAAATTTTGAATGCTAGACACTTTAGGAGATATTATAGGCTTCTGAATTCTCATCTTCCCACCTAGTAAAAAAGATCATGTTAGTATGCATATGTAAAATAATTTCTTCTGCTTTGAAGGTACTAGTAAGAGATATGACTTTAGGAACAGCAGTGATTGCCACTATCATATACTTCCTGTTCAAATGGAGAGCTCGGAAAAAGGGTAAACACACATCGGATAGAAATAGAAAATCTAAATCAATACCAGAGAAAAAAGCTGGGAAAGCAACAGATTCATATCTATTCAAAGACAAAACCCAAGTAATGATTGAAGACTTAAAAGTCTCAAAACTTGAAGATCTGATAATAGCAACAGACGGCTTTAGTGAGAGTAACTTGCTCGGGAAGGGTGGTTTTGGCCAAGGTAAGAATGAGTTCAATTCAAACATGATCTTACGTAGTCTAAAATGCAACAAAACGTAGCAGGAGATAATATGATGTTTGTTTACAGGGTAAACTAGAAAATGGTCAAGAAATAGCAGTAAAAAGGCTTTCAAGAGCATCTGGGCAAGGTGTAGAAGAATTCATCAACGAAGTTGAATTCATCTAAAAACTTCAGCAATTTCAGATTTCTAATAAAGCTGTAATCAAGCGAAACAGGAACATCATTATAAAACGGAGGGAATAGTACATGTTAAAAGAAAAAATAAAACAAAAACACTCAAAATTACATTAATTATACTAGTTCGTATGTGATATATTGCCTTTGGATTCTAACACCTTATTGCAGCTAGATTGATGGGGCAGTAAGCTGTGTATCTCCTTTGTGTATCTCCTTTATCGTTAAAATTATGTACTAATACAACGGGACAAGCGAATCGACCCAAGGATGAAAGGAAATGATCCTTTCGGTACCATCTGGTAAATTTGTGGCTTCGATCTCCCTAGCTTGTTTGGATTGTAGATCACAGCAGATGAAAACCTTTTGTAGAGCTCTTGTACGGTCAGCTATTGCTAATATGATACTGCGTCGTTCATCTCGGAAACCCAAATTATATATTTTAGCATGATGAAAATCAACATGTTTCAATTGCCCCGAGAGATGATGAAAAATTCGAGTCCAAGATATCTTCTTCTTGTTTAATACCCATATCTCCAAAGTATATGTTACGATACACAACTGTCCTTCTAAAATGGTCAATTCTGAGTCATCTTCACAGTTGGTATAGTTTATCTCTCTCTTTACCGGATGGGGTATCTGGTAATACCTTTGAGTGAAAAGATCGAAACACCTTATTCCTGTAAACAACAAAGGATTCATCCAATGGAAGGAGTTGTCAGCCAAGATAGCAGGTCGGGGGCTCATACAAAATTGATTCAACTGCCATGGCGGGCTCGGTATGTTCACCCAGGCATCCGTTTTCAAACTGTATAGTAGAGCTTTTTCGACATTTCGATCATTCCTCTCCATACAAATGGCTAAAACCTTATAATCATCGGATACACTGTCATAACCGAATGCAACTTCACGTTTCAATAAATTATTCATCGGGGAATTGAGTGGTGGTATCAATCTAGTGGCTCGAGTCGCAGGGTTGTAGAGAAACAGGCCTAGATTATTGTTGTAAGCAGATTTGTAAAAGGGTTGTAATGTTATTGAATGAAAACAAACTAGGCCATTGCATGAGCCTAAAACACCTCCCATGGTGCGAGGCTTTATGATGTCTTTCGGATAAGCAAGTTCCGAAGCATGGTAATAGGGATGCTGCGATGTAGCTCTAAAAGAGTAGACTTTGGATTTCCAGCACTCGAAGAGGAAATGCGTTTCCAGGTTTGCTTTGAGGGATCGACTGCGATGCAACTTCATGAACTTTGGATCTTTGGTAAGCATATACCACGATGAAGAGACACATGCAGATCGCAGCAGAGACTTAGCGGGTAGCCATGAGAGTATCTCAGTGATTAGTTCAAACGGAAGGTAGCAACAATCGGTCTTCGCTTTCTTCTCCATCCTCAGTATGCTTTAATTTAACAACTACACTACGAATTGTTGGTGCTTAATTGCTTATATAGGGAGATAAACAAAGATCAATCATACCTTTTACAATTCCAATTAGGATTAGGATTAGGATTAGGATAGTTATTGCGGTTGTATTAGGGATATTTACTTCTTACAAGATCCTTGGTCTCCAAGGTTAATTTAAACAACCTTGATTCCCAAGGATGTGTAATACACTAATACTTGGTCTTCAAGACATTATATGGTCGCCAAAAATTAAAAAATAATATTTTTTTTTTTATTTTTTTGTTATGATAACCATTAACCAATGAGAGAAGATGTATTTCCTAAACTAAACGTTAGATATTTTAATAGATATTTAAAAAGATTTGATTGAAAAGATAAACCAAATTATTATGGGATACATGATGCATCATTTAGTAACAAAAGTATTGACCAATTTACTTTGAATAATCTCAATTGTAAAAATTTGCACAAAAAAAAAAATAAAAAAATAAAAAAAAAATCCCTTAAAATATCCTTTTAAATTAGGAAAAATATACTTTATTAATCCCAAGTTTGACCAATTTACTTTGAATAATCTCAACTATCGATTATTTTGCAATAATCCCAACTTTCACCTTCGTTTTCTTCTATCAACCTTGAAAACCAGTTACCTGCTGAAGATGTTTTTTCTAATAAAATATAAAAATGTCACGTGTCACGAGATACATCCCTTGAAGGCTTGAACAGATTCCTCAAAATTGACATCTTGCCTCATAGCTGCAGTCAATTTTTTTATCGGAAAACGAAGATTTATAAATTAATTAAAACCTAATCCACAAGCATAAAAAAAAAAAAAAAAAAGCAGATCAACAACAAAAGCTACAAATTTCAACATGACAAAGCACTTGAATTAGTCTTATTCGTCCAAAAGCAAGAACAACAACGCCTCCTACTGTAAAACAAGTCCACCAGTATCTGATATGCTCTCCCTAAGGCCTTCCTCAAATGCATCCATGGCACAATGCGTAGCCCCAGTATGGATCTTTTCTTCCTCCTCCATGCTTAAGCATGATTAGCTGAACCTAAAGTTGCCATCTTTCTTCAGGAACTCTCCTATATCAGCAAGAATTAGCGTTAAGAAAGCTATGTAGCCCTGTATGAATTGAACAAAATTCCCTTCTTGAATCAAAAACATCTCGGCAACTGTTACATGAAAACTGCCACTTGCAAGGTGATGACCAAAACCCAGAAACTCGACATTTTGAAGGCCTGTAATTAAAATTCCCTTCTAGATTCATTATTACAATTAAAATTACTACTAAAAATTCAACAATTAACAAGATTATAAGAAGTCTTTTTTCATTGCAAATATGCAATTAGACTTGTTAATTTATTAAATACTTGATAGCAATTTTTTTTAAAAAAAAGCTTGTATCTCATCATTTTATCCTGACAATAGTTACATCCTTGCTCAATACAATAACCCTATTATCCTTCAAAAAATAAATACTCGTAAAAAAAATAAAAATAAATAAATAAAAAATAAATAATAATAATAATAATAATAATAATAATAATAATAATAATAATAATAATAATAATAATAATAATTCATCAAATTAACAACAACAACAAGAAGCATAATTTAATGACAAAAACGAGGTAAATAAAGATAATGGATGTTTATCACATCAATTCATGTTTATAATTATCAAAAATCTCATCAAAACATCCCTTCAAAAAAAATCATAACAGTTGAAAAAATATTTAGAAATTAGATAAATCATAGAATTAATTTGTTTAATACATCATATAAACAAAATATACAAATAAAAAAAAATGAAGCTGAGAATAGGTGAATACCTGAAACCTCATGACTTCATTAGCCATGCTTGCCTTCTTCGCTTCTTCAGTAGCAGAAATTAGAGACAGAAAAACTAAGGAAGATGATACTGAGTATAACTTTTTGGGCCTAGCCCAATTGCTACATTTTATCACGGCCCAATATATTTTCTAACTGGGCCTTATGTTGGGCACGTAATTCAAGTCAGTATTGTTGTATAATTGTATCAATGGTTCAACTGTTAACCAACCCTGACCTAAACTGAAGAGTATTGTTTGAACTGAAACTAACCAAACCCCGAATGGTTCATAACTGAAAATTCAATGGGGAAAAAATTAATTACCACTTAAGTTAGTTGAAACTGAATTAATTTATAAATTGAAATTAACTTAACTGAACTGAATTGTTTGGCCTTGGCATTGATTATTTTACATTCTCAACCCTTAAATGTTTCACCTTGTTCCCTTATGAAAAGTAGCAACATGTGCCAATTGCATGTGTGAGCTTGTTTTCTTTCTTTTGGTGTAGAGAAAATTTGAGAAAGTTGTGTCCCAAGTACCAACTAATGTCGTTCCATATGAACTCATGAATGATCTTGCATATTAATTTATCTTGCTATGTAACAATACAAATACTTTGATCATTTATATATTTGATTTCAGATTAGTAAAAATTATTAAAGTTTATATCTATCAAGATTTTTTTATATAACGCATCTCATATAACAATACGGCTAGTCAAACTCGAAATATTTTAATCTACTCGTCATAGTCGTCAATACAGCACCAATACACTAGAAATCCAGAACATCCACTAGTTTAAAGCGAGTGAGTCTGGGCGCATAGCATTTATGGCCGAGTTATGTAAATAGGAGGGTAAGGAAGTAATTTCCGCTGATTCAATTTTTGCTTCTAGAATAAGTTGACTCTCTAGTGGTACATTATAATGCACCATTATGCATGTATAATGTACCATTAAAGTAAAATTTGTCTGAATAGTACGTTTTGTGGACTATAACGAGTGTAGTGGTAATTTTTACCATCCTATAACTTTCAATTTCTTGAAAAAGCTGACTCTCTAAGGGTACATATAATGTACCATTATGCATGAATAATGTACCACTAAAATATAAGTTATCTGAATACTACTTTTTAATTGCAAAATTGTCATCCTATATGCTTAGAAATCAATAGGCGCTATGAGCCAAGACTTAACCGTTTAACGCACTCATAAGTTCACGTGTTTCACTCAAAGAGCTAACAGGCCTAACACCAAAGACCTCTGAAATTCTGAGCAAAAAAAAAAAAAAAAAAAAAAAGACAGAGAGAGAAAAACACACACACACACAGCTTACCTTCAGAGCCCTGAAATTATCTCTAAATTGCCAAATATTACATGATATAATCAATTAAGCAAAGAATGATACCTATTTTTGCATTAATTCCATACATTCTTCTTTTCAGTTCTAAAATTTGCTCTGCAATTGACAGTATTACACCAACACAATTCCTAAAAGACTCAGAATCAATACTTTCTAAAAATAGCATTTTCAAGCTAGGATTTTTCAGCCCTCAAAACTCTTCCAATCGTTATGTTGGAATCTTATATAATCACCCTTTTGAAATGGAAGTTGTATCTTGTATGGGTAGCTAACAGGAACAATCCCCTCACTGATACTTCTATTGTACTTAAGATATCACTCGACGAAAATCTGCAAGTCTCTGATGCAAAAATATCAGACTGTTTGGTCATCCAATGTCACTCATCCTACAGCTGGTTTCGTAGCAGCTCAACTTCAAGATTCCGGGAACATTTTTATCCAAGGATTTCCGAACAACACGAGTCGTGGCAATGGGACGATCATATGGCAGAGTTTTCGGTATCCTGCAGACTCAGTCTTACCAAATATGAAGTTCATTCTTAACAATAATCCTGAATTCAGGAAAGTCGTGCAGGCCTGGAAAAGTCCTTCAGATCCATCAGTTGGAAGGTACTCAGTTGGTACTAACTCTAGGTTTTTTTCAGATTATCATATGGGATGGGGATCGCCCTTATTGGCGAAGTGGACCTTGGAATGGAAACATTTTCATGGGAACAAGATATCATAATACTGGTTATGGTAATATACTCATTAACACCGGGTCATTCGCACAGGAGGAAGTAAGAGGGATGCTTTCTCTGGTTTTTACAGGTGCGAATGAGACTTTGTTGCCTCGTTATGTAATAATTGATCAAGGGATATTAGCTGAAAGTGGTGGGATGATAGCAAGAAGAACAGGGGAATTGCGTGGCATGCCCCGGAAAATATATGTGACACCTATGGTATGTGTGGAGAATTTGGAAACTGCAACCCGCAGACTAAACCTATGTGCAGCTGCTTAAAAGGGTTTGTGCCAAAGAACGCGGAGGAATGGAGGAGAGGAAACTGGACAAGTGGGTGTGTGAGAAGAAAGAAGCTGCAATGTGGGGTTCAAGGGGGAAAACAAGATGGGTTTTTGAGGTTAAAGATGATGAAAGTGCCAGTTAATGCTGATATTGTTGAATGGTTTGTGGGTCTGAATCCTGATCAGTGCAGAACAACCTGCCTGGCAAACTGCTCTTGTTTGGCTTATACACATGATACTGGAACTGGATGTATGAGATGGAGCGAGAACTTGATTGACATAGAGGACCTTTCACCTGGAGGGGTGGACCTATTCATTCGGCTTGAACAATCAGAGCTAAGTAAGTTAATCATACCTCTTTGAAATTTTGAATGCTAGACACTTTAGGAGATATTATAGGCTTCTGAATTCTCATCTTCCCACCTAGTAAAAAAGATCATGTTAGTATGCATATGTAAAATAATTTCTTCTGCTTTGAAGGTACTAGTAAGAGATATGACTTTAGGAACAGCAGTGATTGCCACTATCATATACTTCCTGTTCAAATGGAGAGCTCGGAAAAAGGGTAAACACACATCGGATAGAAATAGAAAATCTAAATCAATACCAGAGAAAAAAGTTGGGAAAGCAACAGATTCATATCTATTCAAAGACAAAACCCAAGTAATGATTGAAGACTTAAAAGTCTCAAAACTTGAAGATCTGATAATAGCAACAGACGGCTTTAGTGAGAGTAACTTGCTCGGGAAGGGTGGTTTTGGCCAAGGTAAGAATGAGTTCAATTCAAACATGATCTTACGTAGTCTAAAATGCAACAAAACGTAGCAGGAGATAATATGATGTTTGTTTACAGGGTAAACTAGAAAATGGTCAAGAAATAGCAGTAAAAAGGCTTTCAAGAGCATCTGGGCAAGGTGTAGAAGAATTCATCAACGAAGTTGAATTCATCTAAAAACTTCAGCAATTTCAGATTTCTAATAAAGCTGTAATCAAGCGAAACAGGAACATCATTATAAAACGGAGGGAATAGTACATGTTAAAAGAAAAAATAAAACAAAAACACTCAAAATTACATTAATTATACTAGTTCGTATGTGATATATTGCCTTTGGATTCTAACACCTTATTGCAGCTAGATTGATGGGGCAGTAAGCTGTGTATCTCCTTTGTGTATCTCCTTTATCGTTAAAATTATGTACTAATACAACGGGACAAGCGAATCGACCCAAGGATGAAAGGAAATGATCCTTTCGGTACCATCTGGTAAATTTGTGGCTTCGATCTCCCTAGCTTGTTTGGATTGTAGATCACAGCAGATGAAAACCTTTTGTAGAGCTCTTGTACGGTCAGCTATTGCTAATATGATACTGCGTCGTTCATCTCGGAAACCCAAATTATATATTTTAGCATGATGAAAATCAACATGTTTCAATTGCCCCGAGAGATGATGAAAAATTCGAGTCCAAGATATCTTCTTCTTGTTTAATACCCATATCTCCAAAGTATATGTTACGATACACAACTGTCCTTCTAAAATGGTCAATTCTGAGTCATCTTCACAGTTGGTATAGTTTATCTCTCTCTTTACCGGATGGGGTATCTGGTAATACCTTTGAGTGAAAAGATCGAAACACCTTATTCCTGTAAACAACAAAGGATTCATCCAATGGAAGGAGTTGTCAGCCAAGATAGCAGGTCGGGGGCTCATACAAAATTGATTCAACTGCCATGGCGGGCTCGGTATGTTCACCCAGGCATCCGTTTTCAAACTGTATAGTAGAGCTTTTTCGACATTTCGATCATTCCTCTCCATACAAATGGCTAAAACCTTATAATCATCGGATACACTGTCATAACCGAATGCAACTTCACGTTTCAATAAATTATTCATCGGGGAATTGAGTGGTGGTATCAATCTAGTGGCTCGAGTCGCAGGGTTGTAGAGAAACAGGCCTAGATTATTGTTGTAAGCAGATTTGTAAAAGGGTTGTAATGTTATTGAATGAAAACAAACTAGGCCATTGCATGAGCCTAAAACACCTCCCATGGTGCGAGGCTTTATGATGTCTTTCGGATAAGCAAGTTCCGAAGCATGGTAATAGGGATGCTGCGATGTAGCTCTAAAAGAGTAGACTTTGGATTTCCAGCACTCGAAGAGGAAATGCGTTTCCAGGTTTGCTTTGAGGGATCGACTGCGATGCAACTTCATGAACTTTGGATCTTTGGTAAGCATATACCACGATGAAGAGACACATGCAGATCGCAGCAGAGACTTAGCGGGTAGCCATGAGAGTATCTCAGTGATTAGTTCAAACGGAAGGTAGCAACAATCGGTCTTCGCTTTCTTCTCCATCCTCAGTATGCTTTAATTTAACAACTACACTACGAATTGTTGGTGCTTAATTGCTTATATAGGGAGATAAACAAAGATCAATCATACCTTTTACAATTCCAATTAGGATTAGGATTAGGATTAGGATAGTTATTGCGGTTGTATTAGGGATATTTACTTCTTACAAGATCCTTGGTCTCCAAGGTTAATTTAAACAACCTTGATTCCCAAGGATGTGTAATACACTAATACTTGGTCTTCAAGACATTATATGGTCGCCAAAAATTAAAAAATAATATTTTTTTTTTTATTTTTTTGTTATGATAACCATTAACCAATGAGAGAAGATGTATTTCCTAAACTAAACGTTAGATATTTTAATAGATATTTAAAAAGATTTGATTGAAAAGATAAACCAAATTATTATGGGATACATGATGCATCATTTAGTAACAAAAGTATTGACCAATTTACTTTGAATAATCTCAATTGTAAAAAATTTGCAAAAAAAAAAAAATAAAAAAATAAAAAAAAAATCCCTTAAAATATCCTTTTAAATTAGGAAAAATATACTTTATTAATCCCAAGTTTGACCAATTTACTTTGAATAATCTCAACTATCGATTATTTTGCAATAATCCCAACTTTCACCTTCGTTTTCTTCTACCAACCTTGAAAACCAGTTACCTGCTGAAGATGTTTTTTTAATAAAATATAAAAATGTCACGTGTCACGAGATACATCCCTTGAAGGCTTGAACAGATTCCTCAAAATTGACATCTTGCCTCATAGCTGCAGTCAATTTTTTTATCGGAAAACGAAGATTTATAAATTAATTAAAACCAAATCCACAAGCATAAAAAAAAAAAAAAAAAAGCAGATCAACAACAAAAGCTACAAATTTCAACATGACAAAGCACTTGAATTAGTCTTATTCGTCCAAAAGCAAGAACAACAACGCCTCCTACTGTAAAACAAGTCCACCAGTATCTGATATGCTCTCCCTAAGGCCTTCCTCAAATGCATCCATGGCACAATGCGTAGCCCCAGTATGGATCTTTTCTTCCTCCTCCATGCTTAAGCATGATTAGCTGAACCTAAAGTTGCCATCTTTCTTCAGGAACTCTCCTATATCAGCAAGAATTAGCGTTAAGAAAGCTATGTAGCCCTGTATGAATTGAACAAAATTCCCTTCTTGAATCAAAAACATCTCGGCAACTGTTACATGAAAACTGCCACTTGCAAGGTGATGACCAAAACCCAGAAACTCGACATTTTGAAGGCCTGTAATTAAAATTCCCTTCTAGATTCATTATTACAATTAAAACTACTACTAAAAATTCAACAATTAACAAGATTATAAGAAGTCTTTTTTCATTGCAAATATGCAATTAGACTTGTTAATTTATTAAATACTTGATAGCAATTTTTTTTAAAAAAAAAGCTTGTATCTCATCATTTTATCCTGACAATAGTTACATCCTTGCTCAATACAATAACCCTATTATCCTTCAAAAAATAAATACTCGTAAAAAAATAAAAATAAATAATAATAATAATAATAATAATAATAATAATAATAATAATAATAATAATAATAATAATAATAATAATAATAATAATAATAATAATAATAATAATTCATCAAATTAACAACAACAACAAGAAGCATAATTTAATGACAAAAACGAGGTAAATAAAGATAATGGATGTTTATCACATCAATTCATGTTTATAATTATCAAAAATCTCATCAAAACATCCCTTCAAAAAAAATCATAACAGTTGAAAAAATATTTAGAAATTAGATAAATCATAGAATTAATTTGTTTAATACATCATATAAACAAAATATACAAATAAAAAAAAATGAAGCTGAGAATAGGTGAATACCTGAAACCTCATGACTTCATTAGCCATGCTTGCCTTCTTCGCTTCTTCAGTAGCAGAAATTAGAGACAGAAAAACTAAGGAAGATGATACTGAGTATAACTTTTTGGGCCTAGCCCAATTGCTACATTTTATCACGGCCCAATATATTTTCTAACTGGGCCTTATGTTGGGCACGTAATTCAAGTCAGTATTGTTGTATAATTGTATCAATGGTTCAACTGTTAACCAACCCTGACCTAAACTGAAGAGTATTGTTTGAACTGAAACTAACCAAACCCCGAATGGTTCATAACTGAAAATTCAATGGGAAAAAAATTAATTACCACTTAAGTTAGTTGGAACTGAATTAATTTATAAATTGAAATTAACTTAACTGAACTGAATTGTTTGGCCTTGGCATTGATTATTTTACATTCTCAACCCTTAAATGTTTCACCTTGTTCCCTTATGAAAAGTAGCAACATGTGCCAATTGCATGTGTGAGCTTGTTTTCTTTCTTTTGGTGTAGAGAAAATTTGAGAAAGTTGTGTCCCAAGTACCAACTAATGTCGTTCCATATGAACTCATGAATGATCTTGCATATTAATTTATCTTGCTATGTAACAATACAAATACTTTGATCATTTATATATTTGATTTCAGATTAGTAAAAATTATTAAAGTTTATATCTATCAAGATTTTTTTATATAACGCATCTCATATAACAATACGGCTAGTCAAACTCGAAATATTTTAATCTACTCGTCATAGTCGTCAATACAACACCAATACACTAGAAGTCCAGAACATCCACTAGTTTAAAGCGAGTGAGTCTGGGCGCATAGCATTTATGGCCGAGTTATGTAAATAGGAGGGTAAGGAAGTAATTTCCGCTGATTCAATTTTTGCTTCTAGAATAAGTTGACTCTCTAGTGGTACATTATAATGCACCATTATGCATGTATAATGTACCATTAAAGTAAAATTTGTCTGAATAGTACGTTTTGTGGACTATTACGAGTGTAGTGGTACTTTTTACCATCCTATAACTTTCAATTTCTTGAAAAAGCTGACTCTCTAAGGGTACATATAATGTACCATTATGCATGAATAATGTACCACTAAAATATAAGTTATCTGAATACTACTTTTTAATTGCAAAATTGTCATCCTATATGCTTAGAAATCAATAGGCGCTATGAGCCAAGACTTAACCGTTTAACGCACTCATAAGTTCACGTGTTTCACTCAAAGAGCTAACAGGCCTAACACCAAAGACCTCTGAAATTCTGAGCAAAAAAAAAAAAAAAAAAAAAAAAGAGAGAGAAAAACACACACACACACAGCTTACCTTCAGAGCCCTGAAATTATCTCTAAATTGCCAAATAT